GATGGGGTGCAACTCCATCCTGTACCTCCCCGCACGATGGCCGTGACACAATAACTAGATCTTACTGATTTCAACAGAGTTGGCTAATTTAAACAGAGGGGTTTGGGGCAAACCATACCTTGCCTGAGCCCTCATCACAGTCCATGTGAACAGGAAATTAACGAGGCATGAGCTTTCAGCCAAAAACATCCATTTCCCAAATTGCAAGTCAGATATCCACTAACGGAAGATGGCGAGCTGGGCTTCCGTGGTCTAAAGGCGACACAGGAAAAGGACTATCTTCAAAGCCATCAGGGCCCAAGCAGATGTTCAGCCTCAGATATGAAAACCTATATTTTACACTCAGAAGCAAGCAAATCGCACCGTCTAAAGTCCTTCACCTCTCAAAGCAGCTGCGCGGGTCTCCGGTACTCGCCGGGGCGTCAGCCCGCCCGTGCCCCTCACTAGGCCCTGGAGTTGGCCACCTGCGCGCACCTCTGTGCCATCCAGGTACCACCTGACAGTAAATAGGGCATTAAAGTAGAATCTTGCAAGACGGCTTTCCCTAAGAGGAACTGACCCTGGCTTCACATAAGAGAATTCCGAATTAAGGATTTCACACAGCCACCGTTCTCTGAAAAGAGCCAGCTCTAGCCCCCGTGTTTCCTGACCTAGGGATCCAGCTCTGTAAAACGACACACACATCAGCCATCTTGTTCTCGGCTTAGCCATCAACTGAAGAGTCAGCATTTCTCTTAAGCGGCTAAATCCCACACCAGCAATTACCAGAACATTCTCAACCTCTGCAAGGCCTCCTTGGGTGTACTGCCAGCCTCTGTTATTAACATGAGGCCTCTGGACTACTGGGAGCCCAAGGATGGGTGGTAGAGGATCCCCAAAGCCCCTAAATATTATAGATGTGCATGTTCCTGTATGCGTGCTTTTTCTCAAGGAGAAGGTCTTTGGTTCTTATCAGAGTCGCAAAAGAATTTGTGACCAAAAAGTAATTAGGAAACTGCTCTAGGTGTAAGTCAGTCAGTTCATGGAAAAGCCCGTTCAGTGGGGAATAGCAGTCAGCAGGTGCTTGTGGATGGTGGCAGGCCCTTGCCCACCTAACAGACCCTGCACCTCCACGGCTAGAGAAGGGTTGCCGATGTATCCTTAGTTACCATGCCATGTCCCAAGGGACTAGTGACCTGCTGGTAGGATATGTGAAAACTTTTTTGAGAAAAAGAACCATCTTCAGTGCAAGGTTGGAACAATTCAAGACACTGAGAGCTCATTACTATCTAAAGGTCTCCTGAGGCCGGGTGAAGTCGGTGTCTCAGTACCATGGCTTCAGCCGTGTCATTTACTTTCGATATGTTTATTTTGTGATGTGTTATTGTTATGGCATACATCTAATCACTATTACTACCTTGAGTGCTAAAGTTCTCTCTATGAAGTGTATTTCATCAACAATTAGACTTCCTTTCCTTCCCCAGATGTTTTCTGGACGAAGCACTGCACATTCTCCTCAAGTTCATTCTTAATGACCACCTCCCAGTGGTTTGCAATAGAATGTCTGAGGGCCCTAGACTCTCCCTGTGACCATTTCTGTCTCTGCCACCTGCTTATAGTTGCCCTGTTCACAACTACTTTCAGTTGGTCCAAATGCATGTTCAACTGCATAAGGAATTTTGTGGTACAAATGATACTTCTTTCAGGAGTATCTTAAGTACAGCCTCCTGTTTTTAGTTTGTTTCTATAGCTTTATCCAAAAACTTGTCCCTTCTGGGCTTTCTCTGTTATCATACCCCTTTTACACTATAAGCCTCAAGGTAACAGCCTCATCCCCAACACACACACACACACACACACACACACACACACACACACCACAGATACACTACCACCTTCAATGCTTCTCAAAGTGTGACCTGCAGAGCATTTGTAGCAGAACCTTTATGAGGTGGGAGGACTTGTTAAAAATGGAAACTCCTGCCAACTCCCAGACCAATTGGATCAGAATCCACATAGGTGGAACCTAGCTGCATCTGTTAACATGCCTGCCATCCATCCAATAAAATGTGAGAACTCATGATTTAAAACAACCATTTCCTCCCTGGTTTGAGCCCTATTGTTTTCGGATCTAAGTGAAACTATATTCAAATCCACCTTGTTCATCTCTAAGATCAGCATCTCCCTGTCTCTTCCTAAGAAATATTCTTGTCTCTCTCTCTCTCTGGCTTTTGCTATTAGCTCTTCTGTGACTACTGAGCCTCCGCAGTCCACCTTGGCAAGTCCTCGGTACCCAACCCATCACTTTTTCCTCCTTCCTGAGCTGTCCTAAAGGAAAGTCTTTAGCATCTGTCACCAGAGACTGCCTGGATTCAGACTCCCTTCACTGTACCCTGCCCAGGGATTCACAGAACATACTTGCTTATCAGAGGCAGGCCCCCATCTGGTCCACAAAGCTCCTCATAGCTTTCCTCTTAAATATTGAAACAGATAGGCCTTCCTGTCTTTTATTTGTATTGTGTTTTATTCATTATGTACTTTTCAGTGCACAGGATGATTCTCCAACCAACTGAGCCACACTGGCCAGGGTTATTACCTTTCTTTTTAATAACTTAATTAAGTTATATAACTCAATTTTAATGCTGGGTGTGTTTAACAAGTAGCTTGCAAATTTTCTGAAAATTTTACAATCAACTCTTACAACTAAGATCACTTACATACAGGCTTTCTCTACATTTTTTTTTAATATAAGGACACATACTACTACAATAAATGAAGTAAAAACAAAATTCCATTTTACCATTCAAACACACCAATGCTTTCATTTTTTTATCCTCACATTTAATCCTCATTCATAATGAAACCAGAATGTAAGTGAAATTTTTAACCCTGATTTTCTAATTTAGCACCATATCAAATACATTTTCATAACTACTATAACTATGACCTCCCATCACTACAAAATAGTCCATGAAATTAGTGCTGTCAGAATCACAATACTTATTTAGGTTATTCTCAGATTTTGCTGTTACCAGTGATAACACAGTGAATGTGTTCACACGCTGTTTTCTCCTTCTTTGAATCATTTATTTCAAGTAAATTCCCAGAGCGATAATTAATGGATCAAAGCATATGAGTATTTTAATGGCTCTTGACACATATTGCCAAGTTGCCATATTTCTATTTTATGCAACTCCTTGGTGGTATGCTGATAACTGTTTAATAGATTTTCCTAAAAATAAAAAAAAGTGTGAGGGGCCTAATTTATAGTGTTTGCCAATTTCCGTGGTGTAGACACTCCTACCACGGCCAGTTTCAAGCTACCAACATCACATCACCGAATGCAAAGATGGAAAGAGATGCTCAGTAGCACATCATCATATAATATTTCTATCCTACAACTAAATTGGAGCAAATAACTTCACAAGCATAGATAATAGTAAAATGTAGGAAATAGTGCGTTTTGAGTATTTATTACCTTTATCTTTTTTTTTTAATCCTTACCCGAGGACATGCTTATTGATTTTAGAGAGAGGGGAAGCGGGAGAGAGAGAAAAAACATCAATGTGAGAGAAACATCGATCAGTTGGCTCCCATACGTGCCCCTACGAGGGACTGAACCTGAAACCTGGGTATGTGCCCTGACCAGGAATTGAACCTGCAACCTTTCAGTGTACAGGATGACTCTCCAACCAATGAGCCACACTGGCCAGGGTTATTACCTTTCTTTTTAATATAATTTAATTAAGTCATGTAACTTAATTTTAATGGTGGATGTGTTCAACAACTAGCTTGCAAATTTTCTGAAAATTTTACAATCAACTCTTGCAACTAAGCTCAAGCGGGCCCCTGCACACCACCACAGATATCTCGCTTGGCATTTTTTGCCAAGGGCACATCCTTTTTCTTATTGAAGCCACTGAATTTTCACCTTATTCCTATCTCTGTCGCAAACAATAACCATGCTTGTAGATTAGCAGATTATATAAATACATAATGAATAAAACATAATATAAATAATAGACAGGAAGGCCTATCCAGGGCCATTAATTCTGTCCATCTCCCTCCAATTTGGACAACATTCTCTTTATGCATTCATCTTACGAGCATTTTTCCATGAGGTCACCTATAATAACTACTCAGTCATTTCTTTCCTCGAACAATGTCTGAATGGACGACAATACGTAATTCTCATGGCAAATGTGATAAGACCATGTTACATGTTACTTAACCACTCTCTTCCTGGGTACTCTTTTTCTATGAAATGGGGAAGAGGTCACTGCTGACTTCAGGTTTACGAGAAGCTACGTGGAGAGATAAGAAGCTCCCACTAATCCTCTAAGAAACTACTGAGCATTTCGTCATGCTCTGAAATTCTCTCCTGAAAGAAATCTACTAGGATTCTGGTTCACTGGAGGAGAGAGATTGGGAGGGTGATATGACACTTTCACCATTGAAAGCAAATTCCTTCCTTTGGGCTCCCTGAGTGATAATAAAGAGCCTCTCTGTGTGTAAAACACCTTAGAATTTTTAAATTAGATTTACTGGTGTGAAATTGTTAATAAAATTATATAGGTTTCAGGGGTACGGGAAGCAGCCCAAGTGCCCACCAGTAGAGGAGTGGATAAAAAAGCTGTGGTACATTTACACAGTAGAATACTACTTGGCCGTAAAAAAGAAGGCAATCTTACCTTTTGGGACAGCATGGATGGACCTGGAGGGTATTATGCTAAGTGAAATAAGTCGGTCAGAGAAAGACAAATATCATATGGTTTCACTTATGTGTTAAATCTAATGAACACTTTAGAAGTTTTTAATGGCACCCTACCTGTGTGTTAAAATGTAAATACGTATGGCCGACAAAAACTCTACACATGCTCACACCCTTGACTATAGCCATCCCGCTCCCAGGAACACTCCTAAGAAGTCAGTTCAAGACAAAAAAAAATCCTTGTGTGTGACCGTAGTAATCACAACAGAGGGAAGATCATTTGGCCTCATCTCAGCACTTACGCACTTACCATCTCACTGCATCGAGCTCTGGTCAGAGAGTCCTGGATTAATGGCTCCCAGCTGCTCATCTGTGCAACAGTCTCCAAGTCACCTGAGGGGACAGGGTATGTACTTGTCACCACACGGCCACAGATGCCCGAAATGACATGCAGTCAACTCAGAAAGTTGTCTTATAGTCTGAGAATCTGATATGGGAAGGCTTAAAATAATTAGTTTCTAATCTTTTCTCTTTTTCATACGCATTATTCCTATAAAACATCTGACCCTGGGCCTGTTCCATACCTGATGCTCAAAATATATTAATTCCAGCCTCGGACCATCAGCCCCATTTACTTACAGAGAGCTTATTCCCAGGCCAGGGACCATATCATTCCAGTGTCCCCAGCCAAATTCTTAATAAGAATCATAATTGCTACATTTATTGAGAATTAATAGTATGCCCGGCACTAGGCTAAATGCTTTACATAATTTTATTTCATTTTATCCCTATAACAACCTTCTGAAGTAGGTATTTTCAGTTATTATTACAACTACTTTACAGATTTTTTTTAAATCTGAAGATTGAAGAAATTAAGTAATGTGTCCGAGTTACCCATAGCTCAGAATCGACGGCACCAGGTTTCAACACAACGCAATCTGGCTCCAAAGTCTGAGTTCTTATTCACTATACTGTATCTGTGTTACTATGTAGACACAGATATTTCATGGTCCAGGAAGAAACGGGGGGCGGGGGGGAGGGAGGCTCCAAATCACTAGGAAAAGAGCAGCAGCAAATCCATGACATCTCATTCAGACATGCAAAGGAAATAACACGTATTTCATGACATTTTTGGACTGGCTTTTAAAGAATAGAGATTTGCTTATAATCGGCCAACCAACTCATCCTTCCAAGAGGAAGGCTATTTTAATTACCAGATGATTGAAGGGTCTCCTTAAAAAAGGAGTAAGCAGGAATGGGGGTCTCACGGTACCCCGAGCCCTTTCTCTACATAGACGGTGTGCTAAAGGAAGACAGCAGAGGACGAGAGCACCATGGACACGCAGAGCCGTCTGAGGATGGAGAGGCGAGCATGTCCAGGCTCCCTCTCCCACCGAACTCTCTTACAGCCACGAAAGCAGAGAAAGGGGAGCAAAGGACAGGGGAACACGAGAACTCCACTGGTCCATTCTCAACAGCCTCTGAGGTTCTCCATGACCTGTCTGCACGTCCAAGCTTATTTCCTGCCAATGTGCAAAACAGACTTTCTGCTTTTCTTGGGCCGGTCTCCTCATCTAGACTGGTCCTCTCCTCATCAGCCTCACCTTCGGGCCTTTGCCCACCCAGTCCTCCTAATGTGCATTAACCTTCTTCTCCTTCTACCGAAATCATGCATCTTTCCAAAGCCCGTGACTTCCAGACTACTGCAGCCTGAAGTCCCCTTCTCAGGACTCCTGTAACTCTTACAGCCTTGCTGGCCCATTCACCACTCAATTCCCGTCTCATACTGCTTTCTGAATTTTACTTTCTATATGGCTACTAGATAATAAGGTCCTTCAAATACAAAGACTATAGAAATTCTTTATATTTATACTATATCCTCTACACCACCAGCTTAGAATTTATAATTGATCATCAACTACTTGTTGTTTACTTTAATGGCAGTTTTAATTTAATAAAGTGCCTAAAACTAGTGATTTCCCAAATTTTATTTACTTACAACCCAGGCTACTGACTGGCACCTCACAGCATGTCTCCAGATCAAACCACCGCAAAAAATAAAGTTAATTAAAAAAAATAAACGTATACATCATATACTATTTTTAGAAAGAGGACTTTAGCGTTGGCAATATGTAAAACAAAAAAAGGTAGGAATTCCAGATCCATCTACATCATTTGGATTTTGGTTCTGTTTCTTTTCTGAATTAGAAAATTTTAAAACTCGTCTTTGCACAACTTAGGGAATCTTTAGATTTACTTCATCAAACGTAGGGTGATATTTAAACTCCCCAATTTTTAAAATTTTTCAATCACAGCTGACGTACAATATTACATTAGTTTCAGTTGTACAACATAGTGATTAGACCTTTATATAACTTACAAAGTGATCACCCCAATAAGCCTCATACCCATCTGACACCAAACTCAACTATCCAAATACTTGAGCTCAGTCATAGTCCATCACAAGCCTATCAGTTCTCCAGAATAATATCTAAAAAACTAAAAGCCAACTATTGCAACATTTAACGTTTCCAAAACAATATGCATCTTGTTAGGACTTGTGGGGGGACAACTGGGTATCAGAGCACTGTGCCTTTCTCCCATAATGTCGTTCCATATTTCACAACAGGTAGAACAAGGTGTTTAGCCTAGAGTAAAAGCTAAATAAAATTAGAAAGATTTCTTTTGACACCGACGGAATATTTTTAAAGAAGCAAAAGTCTTACCTGTTATAGAATGCCGAAGACATTTCTTGATACCAAAATGACTGACTCCGGAAGTCAACGTCGTTCAGTGCAGGTAAGTAAAAACAAAAGCAGCCAGGGCCTTTGACTGTTACGTTTCCTTCCAAAGTCAACCTTTTCTTCCTCCCCAAGCCTAGAACTGATTCACACTGGAAAATCTAAAAATGTAAGAGCTGGGCTGGTAAAAATTCCAACCCAGACGTTGGGGAGAGTGTGCGTGGTGACTGAGGCAGCAGGAACCATCGAATGTGACAAAAGAGGTTAGCGAGTTCCTGTGCCCAAGGCAGTTTCCTGTCGCTGGCTTCTCCGAAGAAGGGGTTTCGTTCGTGTGGGTTTCAGGGTGTGTGTGCACGTGTTTCTCTCCATGACAATATGAAAAGTTCCCCAGATAAGAGGCAGAATAAGACACTTGCCGCACGGCTGGGCTTCTGTTTAATATATCAACCCTCCTGGGACCATTTTTTCTCCCCCATCCCTCCCCTTCCCACCAGCAAACCACCCACATAAAACAGGAAAGGAAGAGTGAAAAACCGAGATGATTCCTTAAGGAAGTGAAATACAGCAGAAAAAAGAGAAAAAAAGTCCAGCTTCTAACCGGTCTTGGTTAATTTAAGCTTAGGAAAAAGCACCTTAAAACTTACAAGTCAGCTTGATGAACATACTTTGAGGGGAAACCAGTAGGTGGGTGGTTTGGTTTGGTTTATTAATAACTACCAAATAATAATCCGGAGTAAAAAAAAACAACAACAACAGACTCAGCCACAGCAAGAGCTTAAGCAGCCCTGCCACATGCTCCGGTTTCACAGCCCAGCACCTGTGTGGTGAGCGACGTGCCTGGAGTGGTTTTCAGACTCCTCAGTTTCCTTATTTGCCTTCGAGCACAAATTGACTTGTTTGTCCTCCAGTGCGACCCAGGTGTAGAGACCATCTGCATTTAGATTATGGCTAAATTGCCCACACCAACAAATTTAACTTCCATGATGTGTTGTTCACAATGTCCCATGCCTCAGATCCTTCAGTTATCACAAACGCTACTATCCGGGGTGAAATCTTGGTCCAAATACCCACATGCCATAAAGAAGAAGTCAATTCCATTCAAGTCAACAAACATTTAGAGAGCCCCTACTATGTGTGAGATCCAGTGTCGGGTGCTGGGGCGGGGGGGGTGGACAGGAAGAGGAATGAGATGAAATGTCTCACCATGGTCAAAATTGAGTGAAGGAGAAAGACATGGACACAGAGGAAATGCTGTGAGTCAGGGTCTATTTAGCTGGCACACACAGAATCCTGGCACACACAGAATCCTGGCACACAAGAGTCAGGTAAAAAGACAGTGTACACAACCATTTTCCCAATTAAAATAGCCACTGAGCCCTGGCCGGTTTGGCTCAGTGGTTAGAGCGTCGGCCTGCGGTCCAGAGAGACCCGGGTTCGGTTCCCGCTAAGGGCATGTACCTCGGTTGCAGTTTGTCCCTGGCCCTGGTTGGGTCGTGTGGATGGCAGCCACTCGATGTGTCCCTCTCATGTCGATGTCTCTCTCTCTCTCTCTCTCCCTCCCACTCTATCTGAACAAAAAATGGAAAAATGTCCTTGGGTGAGGATAAAAAAAAAAAAATAGCCACTGAATGTGGACCTGAATTCTCTCATAATATTCCAAGGGGAGGTGGCTGGCTTCCAGGAGGCCCTACAGCCCATTATTTGTGGGCCATCTTCATTGCTGCAGACTCATGCGTTATGTGTCTGATGCTGTGCACTGAGGGAAAGCACAAAGACCAAGATGGACATAGTCCCTGTCCTCACAGTACCTTTGACCTAGAGTAGGGGTGATAAACCAAAGCATTCAAATAAATGCAATAAGTAGTAACCAGTACAAAGGAATCGGAGAAGAAGCTGAGCTGGAGAGCAAGACAAAAACTACATCCTGGAGGTAGTCAAGGAGGGCCTCCTGCAGCAATTGGCGAGGAAGCTGAGACTTAAAGCTGTGACTCTCAGCCCGGGCTAAAATTTAAAATCATCTGAGAAGCTTTTAAAAACATCAATACCTAAGCCCTGTCTCCCAGAGATCTTAGTTTAATTTGTTGGGTTGGGGGTTGGGCATCAATGCAAACTCCCCCAGTCATTCAAATGTGTTGCTACCGTTCCGACGATGAGAGAGGAGCCTAGGGAGAGAAGAAGGGTGGACCATCCAAGCAGAGGCCGCAGTCTGTGCAAAGCCCCTGAGGTAGGAAAGAGCTGGGGTAGTTCAAGGGAGTGACAGAGGACTGATGTCTGGTAGTGGTAGCAGGAATAAACAGTGCAAGGTGGACGTTCTCAGAGTTGGACATGCTCTTACTAAGCCCTAAGAGACTCTTACATGAGTCCAAGTGTCAATTGCTCATGTGCAGGAAGAAGTCAATCTGCCGGGTGAGATCTTTGAGCCCTCTGACGAGCACATTATCTTCTAGAAAATTCTCCATGGAAAGTCAGATCACATGGCTGGTAGATACTTTATTTACCTCCAGTTTTGGTCACCCAAAGATTTAGAGCAGCTAATAAAAATACATACAATTTAGCCCTGGCCGGTTTGGCTCAGCGGTTGGAGCGTCCGCCTGCGGTCCGGAGAGACCCGGGTTCGGTTCCCGCTAAGGGCATGTACCTCGGTTGCGGTTTGTCCCCGGCCCTGGTTGGTCGTGCGGGTGGCAGCCACTCGATGTGTCCCTTTCACATCGATGTTTCCCTCTGTCTCTCTTCCTCTCTCTCCCTCCCACTCTATCTGTACAAAAAATGGAAAAATGTCCTCGGGTGAGGATAAAAAAAAAAAAAAATACATACAATTTAGTAAGATAAAACAAATTATTACAAAAGAAATTAGCCCTGGCCGGTTTGGCTCAACGGTTGGAACATTGGCCTACGGACCAAAGAGTCCTGGGTTCAATTCCCGCTAGGGGCACGTACCAAAAAAAAAAAAAAAAAAAAGAAATTAGTCCGGCCGGTGTGACTCAGTGGTTGAGCATCGACCCATGCACCAGGAGGTCGCCAGTTCAATTCCCAGTCAGGACACATGTCCAGGTTGTGGGCCCCATCCCCAGTGGGGGCCATGCAGGAGGCGGCCGATCGATGTTCTCTCTCATTGATGTTTCTGTCTCTCTTTCCCTCTCACTTTCTCTCTCTGTAAAATGAATAAAGGAAAAGACGAGGCCAAGAGAAATGAAGACAAAAATTAAGCTAAAACCAAGGGTGAGGTTGACGCAGAAAATGGATACCGTGTGGTTCCCAAGCTTTTAAGCCACCAGTATGGAACGGCAAACACCGTCACATAAAACACTGAGTGCCCAATGGGCAAAGACCAGTGTAATGCTCAAGACAGTGGGGCCTTCCTGCCTTCCCCGAGCTGAGACCAAAGAGAAACTTGGCGCCTGAATGCTCACAGAGAGGACATCACAGTGGATGTGAAACATCACCCTTAGACTAAACACAGCCCTTGGTAAGTCCTGATTTCTCCCTCAGCGTAGGCCGATTTTATCTCACGCAGGAGGACTTCCGGGGGGGGGGGGGTGAGGAGTGCTGGAGATTAGTGCAGTATTTTCTATCCCAGGACGTGGCTTCCATGTGCCAGTTTAATGCAGAGATGAAGCACAACGTCACACACGCCTCGGGAAATTTAGGATGCGAGTTTTCTCATCTGAGCTTCTAAAAGATTTGGGGTGGCAAAGAGCTCAAAGTTGATCATACTTCCAGCAAGAGATCCAGTGGTTTTCTCAGGGTCCCCGTGTCCCTGAAAAAGCAGAGGAGTTGGGGCAGGACCTTGCCTGCCTGCACAGCGCTCCTCCACCTCCAGCAGAAGGTGTCCTTTGGAAAACAAAGTGAGAGGAACCACAAGCTCCTAAGTTCAGGGCCTCGGGCCTTCTACATTTTCTTCACAAGAGGTCCTACGTAGGCAAACACTGCCACCCAGCCTGGACTGTGCGGGGAAGGGCCCTGCCACATCTGCCTACAAGTCTCCCTTCCCCTCGAGGCTCCTTGCCGGACGCACTTGCTCTCTCTGCACCCGAACTGTGGCTTTAGATGTTCTCATATAGTCAGGCTCTGTGCTTCTCCCTGCTCCCGATGGAGACACGGTCATCTTCATGTATACTTTCACCCCAGAGGGGTTTTCTTGGTGGGGGTGGGAGAGGGTTGGGGACAGCTAGCTAGCTACCTTTCTTCCTTTCGTGGAAATCTCTTTTTCTCCTCCCTCCCCCTTTCTCTCCACATTCCCCTCAATCTTTTAACAGACAGGAGTAATGGTGAAGGGAAGAAGAAAACAACGAGATACGAGCACACACCGCAGGGGGTGGGAACGTCCAGCCCGCAGGCCTTATAAGGCCCACGAAATCAATACCAGCGAACACCACACGCCTCACCAAATTAGCCTGACCAAATATAGCAGGGTAATTTTTAAGTTGATAATTTTGTATGGCCAACAAATGATGTTATAAACATCTAAATGGCCCGTGGCAGAAAAAAGACTCCCCACCCCTGCTACAGGCTTGCAGACACACACACACACACACACACACACACACACAGACCCAGACGTCACACCCACCCACACACACACACACACACACACACACAGACCCAGCCGTCTCGGTGTCAGTTCTGAGGCTGCACTGTTGAGCCTTAGGCCAGAGGCCGGGAGAATCCTGGGACAGTCATAGTGGCGGCAGAAGGAAACTTTCGGTGTAGAGTTCCTAACAGGAACCAGACCTTGTGATAAGCCATACTCCCGGAAGCCTTCCTTGACCACCACCCTCCCCCACTGCAGCTCGGAGAGGTGCCCTCCCATGAGCTCCCACGGCCCCCTGACAGCACTCACCCCAGCCCTGTAAGGTCCAGTCAGGAGGCCCTCAAGGCCCAGGGCCTGGCCTTGCTCACTGGTGCAACTCAAGCACTAGTCACATTTGCTAAACAATAGACTGAGTCTCTCATCTAATCCTCACAATAGCTCTATGTGGTAAACATTTTTTTTAAATTAATCCTTAGCCGAGTATGTGTTTTTTATTGATTTTTAGAGAGGGGGGGAGAGAGAGGAAGAGAGAGAGAGAAAGAGAGAGAGAGAGAGAGAGAGAAACATCAATGTGAGAGAAACATCAGTTGGTTGCCTCCCATACTTGCCCTAACCAGGGACTGAACTACAGCCAGGGTATGTGTCCTGACCAGGAATGGAACCCACAACCTAGGTATGTATGTGCCCTGACCGAGAATCAAACCTGCCACCTTTTGGTGCACAGGACAACACTCCAACCAACCGCACCAGCTGGCCAGGGCATAAACATTTTAAAGTATATTTTACAGCCAAAGAGACCTCAACTGGTTAAATAGCTTACGAAAAGCAAAAGATTAACCCATCCATCTGTCCTGGCTTTTCACGACCGTTTCCCAATGGAGAGAGCTGGGCCACGTGGGGAGGGAGAGGCAGCCCCAAGGCCATGGTCATTTCTCTCTCCCAGGTGCCCCTCCTCTGAGATTCTCAGGCAAACACAATCCCTTAAAAGTAGAGACTTGCTTTCTCAAAACAGAACAGCTTATTTTCTCTGTAACAGTTTCCTAAGAATAAGGATCTCCTTCACTGAGGATTTTAAAATAATATGACAACTGTCTGTGTGCCCTGAATTCATGCCTGAGTGGTGCCCTTCATCACTGCAAAGATGTGCTGCTCTTTATACCAGAGGGAACTCTTAATGCTGATGGTAATTGTAATGAAGAGTGAATCTTGGAAACCTTGGCATAGCAATCATTTACTCAGTTATTTCAACCCTGGGTTAGTAAGAGGCACCCCCTTCTTCTCACTGTTAGCTTAGTAACTGAAATGATTTTGATTTAGTAGGTAGTTTTTAATGTTTACACAGACTCTCATGTTGACTAATGAAATAAATTATTTCAGTTGGTTCTGAAGATGGAAAATATATACTAAAGGCTTGTCTAAAGGCTTCGAGCGTCAAACCCCCAGCATTAGTCACACTGTCATTGTTCTTACCCAGCTCCCCACTAAGTGATAACAACTGTATTAAAGCAAAACACGCACTCCTGACTGAGAGCCCACGATGGCGTTGTGAAATGTTAGCTCTTCATAACACAAAGCGCTTAATTCCGATATGTAATATATCAGTGTAAAATACATTCATATAAAGTTCCCTTTAAAATTCTAAATGTTAAAATATCTCAGAAACGCCCCAGGCTAGAAATCACATGAATGATTTCCTCCTTCAATTCATTATGAACAATAGCCTCCTGAACCAGATGACAATATTGTTTCAAACATCTTCTAGCTTCCTCTTCCAGCCGTAACCATAACAACATCATTTCCCCCACTGTTCGTCTCATCATCTATTTTCTCTCTAACTGTTTTAATGTAACATAACATATTGCTTTTTGTTTCAGTAAGTGTTAGGTTGTCAGGAGTCTCAACTGCCATTCTGTTTGCCCTGTGTAACTATGTGTACCTAGCAAACATGCACATCCTGGTTCGTTTTATTACAGAGCTATCACTCACAACAGTGCAGGGTCTTGTTGCAGAGGTCGGTAGCACCCAAAGGAATCATTCGAGCCGTGGCCCTAAAGTTAAGGTACAACTTTTTCCTTTTATCTGTCAAAGCACAACTAATGTAGCCCAGTGACCAGCCCCTTTGGTAGTTGGTGCACTTTTCTAACATCGCAGACACTGGTCAAAGCATTTCTAGAACTTTTTTTACAACATACGTCAGACACAATTTAATAAGCTACAAAAGAAACCCAGTATCACTTCATTCTATTCACAACTTGCTTTTGACTGAAAATACAATCTGGCTTGGTCACCCACCTTATTCATTGGATGTAGCTCCCAGGAGCTGTCTCCTCAAATCAAATCCACCCGGAAAGGGCAAAGATTTGCTATCACTGAAGAAATTTCAAAGAATGTGCCTCAGGCTCTGAGAGCAAATCCAGAAGAGGAGTTTGAAACATGATGTAACAGCAGCATCTTTGGGTCAGGTGTACAAACTCCCAGGGGACGGCTGCAAAGCACACAACATTCGCTCTGATGTAGCAAGTCTGGTCTGTTTAAAGAAGAGGGAGAAGGCCATCGCTGCTGCCGCTTGCATTCATGTTTCACCGTTGCCTTGATAGGGATCTTGGGTTTGGGCACAAACTTCACAGGGTAACTGCAGCTCAGCACACCTGCTCGGAGCGGGGGCTGGCAAAGGTTTCAGTTATAAGGGAAAGATCACTGAGTGCTCACTTGTCACCTTTTCAAAATAACAGAGCTCCGCACAGGTCCAGAGGGAACAGGTTAAGACTTGCACCCAAAGACGATCTGAAATTTTAGAGAGAGCATAAATTTGGATTCAAGCAAAGCAAGATTCAAATCCCAGCTCCACTTATGAGCAAGGATGAGGCTCTGATCTTCCCATCTGGAAAATGGGTATAACAGTATCTATCTTAGAGAGGTTTTATAAAAAAGCTGTATAGTCCTTGGAATACGGTGGACACTCAATACACAGTGGCTATCAATAGCCACTCGTGTTTTATACCTTCCCCTTCTGGAGTTCTTTCCCTCCATCCCTACCCCCTCTTTGAATAACAACTGGTGAATTTCAGAATTTGAGAAGCTTTGCCAGCGCCCAAATTCTCGTTGACTAAAGTCATATAAGCTTACACATCACAGGGTTCTAATGTCATGTGTTTATTGTCTCAACAGTTAAAAGGACCTAGAAAGTTTAAAATCAAGTTGTTAATGGTACTTCATTCCTTATGCATAATCTGAACAATCACGAACACTCCAGAAATGCCTGATGAAGTCATCTGCTCACTACACTGCAAACATCTTAAGATGAGAATTTATTCTTTTTTTTTTTTTTTTTTTTTTAGAGAGGGAAAGAGAATCACTGATTGGTTGCCTCCCATACATGCCCTGACCGGGAACCAAACCTGAAACCTAGGTATGTGCCTGACCGGGAATCTAACCTGCAACCTTTGGCACACAGGACAACACTCCAACCAACTGAGCCACCCAGCCAGGACAAAATTTATCCTTTCTTTCCTCATTCAACAAATATTTGCTGAACACTTGCTATAATATTTACTGAGCGCTGTGATAGGCTCTAGGGAGACAGCAGTGACCACAAAAATAAACTAAACTGCTCTCATGAGTTCACATGTACTGAAGAGATAAGCAGTGGCCATGATAATTTAGTAATGCAGTTGCCACTGTATTACAAAAGATACTGTGTTATGCTAGTTACTAACTGGAAAATAAAGCAAGGAAGAGGGATAGGAAGCTTGGGTGAGGTGCATATTACATAGGGTGGTTTTTTTAAAAACATCGAACAGCCATTTTAATGTTTAATCGTCCTTAACATCAGCATATATCCCTTGGCGTACTGATCATTTGACTTCTCTCACTGATAAGAGCTGTTCTCCCTCCCTGGGAGAGAGGAGTTAAGCACCCGGCTCTGTGGGCAGCCTCCTCCAACTGTGATGCTCACCTCCCAGTCCCAGCCCTCCACCTACTGCTTACTTCTCCACCTTTCTGATCCTGTCTGGGCTTCTTCTCTGAATCCTTGTAAGTCATTTTCATGATGGACTGCTGACATCTAGAGAGAATTATGACTAGAGCTAAATACCTGGTGGAAAATTCCAGGGTAGCAACTCTTTAAGACACATTGTCACAATGCTGCCCTGCCCTTCAGCTAGTCTCCACTCCTTGATCTTACCAAGTCATAATAGTAACAGTAAGCATTGAACACGTGCCAGTTAAGCACTTTATATGCATTTCCTAACTTAACCACCCCAACAATTATGAGGTAGATACCACAGTTTTCTCTTTTTGCAGAGGAAGAAACTGAGGCACAGAGAGCTTACGTATCTTGCTCAAGATCACACAGGCAGTAACTGGTACAGCTTGATTCCATACTCCATCTTTACATTTCTTTACGATAGGGCCAGCTGAATTTTGCCAATATCTTTGCTACCCTTGAACACAGAATACAACTGTATATTGTTTAAATATTACTTGTTAGGTCTCTCACACCAGTTGGGCACCCCAACATCCCAAGCTTGTTTGCCTAATCCTGAATTCTACATGGTTCATGGACAAAGGTTAATTTTAAACTTCAACAGCTGCCATTATGAAAGAAAGAAAGAAAGAAAGAAAGAAAGAAAGAAAGAAAGAAAGAAAGAAAGAAAGAAAGAAAGAAAGGAAGGAAGGAAGGAAGGAAGGAAGGAAGGAAGGAAGGAAGGAAGGAAGGAAGGAAGGAAGGAAGGAAGGAAGGAAGGAAGGTTTCCTTTGCACTTTTAAAGAATAGTTCTTTGCCCCCTTTGTCTTTTTTTTTTCTAAGATGTCTCCCATTTCCTGCTTTAGTGCATAAGCATGAATTTTAGACACATTCATTTCAGATGCCAATGTTATTAGCTATTGCCACTACACAAATAAGCAGGAGGAATTCCACCCACTGCTGAATACTTGTGCTGGGCATGAATGTGAAGGACGTGTAGAAACGGCTTTCATGTGCACTCCCGAATGAAGTTCTGGAAGCTGTTGCAGACATACAGTGATTTATACTTGGCACCGTCTTCTGAAACTCACACAGAACTAGAATTGATACGGCTTGTCAGTTCATAATCTCAACAGGTGGGTCTCTTAAATGAATAAAATACATGTTATAGTGACACATAATTAACACAAGGAAGTTGAAAATAAGATGGCCAATGGTGTTTTAATTACACATAGCAGTTTTAACTATTTTTTTTTTGCACAAATGCCCAGAATATGTGTAGATTTTTTGGCTTTGGCTGAACGATGTTTTTTGTTGTTGTTGAAGATCCCATTTACAATATTAAAAATGGTTAAGAAAAATGGGGACCTGCCCTGTCTGGTTTGGCTCAGCGGTTAGAGCGTCGGCCCGCCAACCAGAGAGTCCCGGGTTCGGTTCCCGCTAAGGGCACGTACCTCGGTTGCAGTTTGTCCCTGCCCCCCCACACCCCGCTTGGGGTCATGTGGGTGGCAACCGCTCGATGTGTCTCTCTCATGTTGATGTTTCTCTCTCTCTCTTCCTCCCTCTCTCCCTCCGGCTCTGTCCTCGGGTGAGGATTAAAAAGAAAAAGAAAAATGCAGACCACTTTAAGCTTACCAGAAAGCAGCATACTGCTGTTGACTTCAACAGAAAACCTGTATTTGACTTGTTGGTAAATCTGAAATAATTTGGCCTGAGCTTTGGGAAGCCACATTCAGATTACCAGATCCCTTCCTTCTTACCAATATCTTCTTGTCTTGGAAATACCCACTTGCTCAAATGATAAATGTTGAGTCAACTAAGTAAAGCTGTGAATTCCGTTCACTTTAATACTGATGCAGCCTTCATGGAGGGAAGTAGCTTAAAACATCTGTGTGAACGTTTGTACTTATTTATAAATGCAACTAGGCCCTTAGGTTAAAAAAAAAAAACCCACATCATTCATCCAGCTGGGACTTGACGCCAGCTGGCACTGCTTAGCAGGAAAAGTAGTTCTGGGCTCAGTGAAAGAGAGACAGGTTCGAGCAGCAGAGGAAATCGCTGTCTTCCAGGAGGCACTAATGTCATTTCTTTGTTGCTGGGGGCTCAGTCCTCAGAATTAGATAATTTCAAAAAATATTTAATGACATGAAAGCATGTTCACCATATGCTACTGTTAAGTGAGGAAAAAGGGCAGGATTCCACACTTGAATTTGAATTCAACTTGCTATCATATACATAAATGCAAATAATAACGGAGGTAACCTCTGGTTGACAGGATACAAGTGATTTTTATGTTTTCCTTTTTCTTGTTCTGTACTTCCCAAATTTTTTTAAATTAAATTTATTTATGAAACATTGGTTAATAACATTATATAAATTTCAACTGTATAAAAGTATAATTCAATATCTGTGTACTCCATTGCGTGCTTACCATCCAAAATCTAGTTTCCTTTTGTTACAATATATTTGCCCCCCTTTACCCAATTCTTCCTCCCTCGACCCACTTTTGCCTCTGGTAACCACCATTCTGTTGTCTGCATCTATGAGCTTGTTTTGCTAGTTTGTTAGTTACATTTTTATTTTATATTCCACATCAGTAAAATCACAAGGCTTTTGTCCTTTTCCATCTGCCTTATTTCACTTAGCATAATACCCTCAAGAGCTATTCATGTTGTCAAAAAGAATAAAATACCTAGAAATAAACCTAACAAAAGAGGTGAAGGACTTATACACTAACAGTTATAAGATGTTGTTGAAAAAAACAACAACAAAAATGGAAAAATATTCCATGTTTATGTGTTAGAAGAATTAACATTGTTAAAACTTTCATATAACCTAAAGCAGTCTACAGATTCAATGCAATCCCTATCAAAATCCCAATGGCATTTTTCATAGAAATTGAACAAAAGATCCTCAAATTGCTATGGCACCACAAAAAATCTTAAATAGCCAAAGCAATCCTGAGAGAAAGGTACAAAGCTGGAGGTATCCCACTCCTTGATTTCAAACTTTACTACAAAAATATAGTAATTAAAATAGTATGATATTGTCACACACACACACACAGTGCTCGCTTCAGCAGCACACACACTAAAATTGGAACGACAAGGGAAGACCAGCATGGCCACTGCACAAGGATAACATGCAAATTCGTGAAGCGTTACATATTTAAATAAAAAAATAAAAAATAAAAAAACAGACACACAGAGCAATGGAGCACAGTTGAGAGCCCAGAAATAAACACACACATATATGGGCAACTGATTTAGAATAAAGGAGCCAAAATCATACAATGAAGAAAAGAAAATCTCTTCAAATAAATAATGCTGGGAAAACTGGACAGCCACATGCAGAAGAATGAAACTAGACTCCCATCTGACACCATGCACAAAAATTAACTCAAAATGGATTAAAGACTTGAATGTAAGACTTGAAACAATAAAATATCTACACAAAAACATAGGTACCAAGCTTCTGAACCTTGGTCTCAGAAGTGTTTTAGTGAATTCGACTCCAAAGGCAAGGGAAACAATATCAAAAATAAATGAATGGGACTGCATCCAACTGAAAAGCTATTGTGCTGCAAAAGAAACCAAGTTTTCTGACTCTGAGGTATCACCTTACACCTGTCAGAATGGCCGCCATCAACAAATCATCAAACAAGTGCTGGTGTGGATGTGGAGAAAAGGGGACTCTAGTACACTGCTGGTGGGAATGCAGACTGGTATGGCCACTGTGGAAAACAATGCAGTATTTCCTCAAAAATATTAAAGATAGAACTGTCATTTGACCCAGTGACCCCACTTCTAGTAATATATCTCAAGAAGTCTGAAACACCAATCAGAAAGAATATATGCACCCCTATGTTCATAGCAGCACTATTTATAATAGCTAAGGTCTGGAAACAGCCCAAGTACCCATCAGTAGATGAATGGATAAAAAAGCTATGGTACATATACACAATGGAATACTATGCAGCTGTAAGAAAGAAAGATTTCTTACCCTTTGGAATGACATGGGAGGACCTGGAGAGTATTGTGCTAAGTGAAATAAGCCAGTCAGAGAAAGACAAGTATCATATGATCTCACTTATTTGTGGAATACAAAGAACAAAATAAGCTGATGAACAAAATAGATCCAGAGACATGGAAGTAGGGAACAGACTGACAAACCTCAGAGGGAAGTGAGGTGGGGGTGAGGGGCGGGAAGAGATAAATCAAAGAACTGATATGCATATATGCATAACCAATAGACTCAGACAACAGTGTGGTGAAGGCAGGTGGACAGGAATGGGGAGGAGGGTATCAGTGGGGGAATAATGGAAGGATATCTGTAATACTTTCAATAATAAAGATAAATTTAAAAAATAAAATAAAATAGGAAGAAATAATGAGGGGAAAAGAGAAATCAGGTTTCCTATAACAAGCACCTATTATTTTTTTAAGCCAGACAGAAGAATTATTGTTGATTTTTTTAACTGCATTGAGCAAGTTTACCTAAGTTTTCTCCATAAACCCTTGTCACTGATGCAGTTGCAACATGTTTTACGCAATAACCAGTGATTTTATAGAAGTTGATTCTGAGGAGAATCAGTGAACCACAGCTGAACCTTGCAAAGTCATCTTCAGCTACAGAGTCACATTTAGATTATTCCAAGATGCAAATTCCATTTCCATGTAGACTCTAAATCAATGGATTCCAGAGGTTTTTGCATTAAACCTCCTGAAGTCATACCTTCAATTTCCTCAAGATGAAAATCATAGCTGGGAGATAGATCCTAGGCTATGTAGTAGCTGTGTCTTCTCATGGGAAAGATAAAGGGGTAATCAGAAATAAAAGAGTGAGGTTTCCGGGAAACTTGTTCAGTGTCTGAACTCAAAAAGAAAGAGGTAGTGGGAAATGCTTGATGCTTATTAGAGGAAAACATGTTTGTGACAAGTGCAGTCAACGATTGCAAGATTTGGTTTCAAACTAAACCTGCTATTTTCTTGTTATGATTACATTATTACAGTTGTGTACTTTTTAATCATTTAGGAGAAAATGGAGTATTGTTATAAATTCTCCTTACTGAGTGCTTTCTGTTTAGATGACATTGAAAATTATACATAAAATTTCAAGATTAATCATAAACAAATCTTTTTACCTTTTTAACCGTATAAACCTTTAAAAAGCAAAATTTTTATTAAAACATTTTTAATAAAAATTTTAAGACTCAAATTTTTATCAAAAACAAAGTGGTTTTTATAATTTTGAGCAAATATATCTCTATGATGTTTATTATTCGAAATATAAAATAACACTGTTTTAGCTTTTTGTAATTCCTGTCTTTTAAATTAATCAGATTTTTTAATGTTTTGGAAGTAAAATATTAAATTACTAAGTTTTCTTTTAACTTTGAATTTTTGTGTTTTCAAATCAATTTACAACTTACAAAGTACTTGTATGTAGATTATCATATTTGATCTTCACAAGACCACTGTAATATACCAAAAGCCAGTATTATTATCATTCTCAGCAATCTCATTTATAAATCAGAAAACGGAAACTCAAAAAGTTAAGAACAGTTAAGGCCACACAGCCGGTGAATGAGAATACTCTCTAGCTAACTTATTTCCACAGTATTTGCACTACCAGAAAACAAATTACTTTTCCCAGATGTTTCCTTAAGGCACGATAAGAGGTACACATTGAATTGAACAAAGACATGCAAAAAATTGAGAAAATCTGTTACTAAAAGGATCATGGAATTATTAATATAAACGGTAGGATATAAAACTAAAGTATCTGTATAGTAAAATTCTAATTCATATAAAAAGGATTCATATATCTGAAAGACTAAAAATAATTACATCAAATAATCATGATCATCTCCAATGGTGAAATTAGAAATCATTTTTTCAGTTACTTTTCTTTAAAATTTTTGCAACTCTGAAATTTTTTAATAATCAGTAAGTATTAACTCCAAAACCAGAAAAATAAACATTACAAGTTATTTTTAATAAAGTGCTATAAACATTCAGTTTATTCTCTTCAGTAATTCTCTAATGCATTCTGTTTCGCTTCAGTTTTTTGGTTTGCTAGAATTTTTTATTTTAAAAAAGGCAGATGTGGTTTCAAAGGCAAATGTAAAAAAAAAAAAAATAGTAATGTGAAATCACAGCACTGTACTTTAAAAGCTTGGTTCTCTATTCTAGTCCATGTAGCAATGTAGAGCAGGTTTTGAGACCTTAACCTAAAACACCATTTCTATGGTTTTCTTTGTCTTCACAATAAACCCCAGAGTTTAACTGTTAACTTGGATGACTATCTGCCCAATAGTCATTTCTTTTTCCTTGCTAAAATAACCTCTATTTTGGAATGGACAAAGTGTCTCAAATCACAGAATGATTCATGATGCCCAGTCTAAGACAGTGAAAGAGAATTGTCTTGTTCCTGCCTTCCCAGCATCTCTTGCAGCTATGGGTACCTATGTGACCTAGTTCCAATCAATGAAATGTTCAAGAAAGTCTTTTGGACATAACTGATGAGGGTTCAATTTCCAAAATATACAAAGAACTCATACACCTCAACACCAGGAAGATAAACAATCTAATTAAAAAATAGGCAAAGGACCTAAATAGACACTTCTCCAGAGAGGACATACAGATGGCCAATAGACACATGAAAAAAATGTTCAGTGTCACTAATCATCAGAGAGATGCAAATAAAAACTACAATGAGGTATCATCTCACACTTGCCAGAATGGCTGCCATCAATAAATCAACAAACAACAAGTGCTGGTAAGGATATGGAGAAAAGGGAACTCTAGTACACTGCTGGTGGGAATGCAGACTGGTACAACCACTGTGGAAAAAAGTATGGAGGTTCCTCAAAAAATTAAAAATGAATCTGCCATTTGACCCAGCTTTCCCACTTCTGGAAATATATCCTAAGAATCCAAAAACACCTATCATAAAGAATATATACACCCCTATGTTCAAAGCAGCATTATTTACAATAGCCAAGATCTGGAAACAGCCCAAGTGTCCATCAGTAGATGAGTGGATAAAAAAATTGTGGTTCATTGCACAACGGATTATGCAGCTGTTAAAAAAGAAGGATCTATTACCCTTTGAGACAGCATGGATGGACCTGGACACTATTATGCTAAGTGAAGTAAGCCAGTAAGAGAAAAACAAATATCACATGATCTCACTTATAAGTGGAATCTGAAGAACAAAATTAAATGATGAACAAAATAGGACCAGAGGTATGGACGCATGGAACAGAATAACAGGTCTCAATGAGGCAGGGGGTAGAGGGGGGATAGGAAGAGATTAACCAAAGAACATACATGCATATATGCATAACCCATGGACAGACCATAGCATGGGGAAGGCCTGGGGTGGGGCAGGGGTTGGTGGAAAGGAGCAAAAAGGAAGAAAATGGGAGACATCTGCAATACTGTCAACAATAAAATAAGTAAAATTTAAATAAATATAAAAATTTTTAAAAATTTCTTAAATGTCTTTGGGTGTTCCTAGGAAATGTGTTCCTCACCACTTAGATCAGGGAGACACAGTCATAAAGCATCTGTCTTCATCACTTCCTGCTTTGGGTTTTATCATGTGAGAAAGTGATGCCCTGAGAGTTATAGCAGCTATCTCAGGACAAATGGGAAAAACAAGAAAACCATAGGGATGAAGAGACAAAAGCCTGACATTGTTGACCCACTCACCACCTCTTAATTTTTATTATGTGAGATATCAAATCTCTGTTTTAAGCCACAGTTAGTTATTCTAACTAATACTTGAAACTGAACATCTAACAATATAGTAAAAAGAAAATAGAAAAATCTGATGATGAAGGTATCAAAATCTTACAAAATGTAACACACATAAAAACCTAGCCAACGCCCTGGCCGGTTTGGCTCAGCGGTTAGAGCATCGGCCTGCGGTCTGGAGAGACCCGGGTTCGGTTCCCGCTAAGGGCATGTACCTCGGTTGCAGTTTGTCCCCGGCCCTGGTTGGTTGTGCGGGTGGCGACCACTCGATGTGTCCCTTTCACATCGATGTTTCTCTCTCTCTCTGTTCCTCTCTCTCCCTCCCACTCTATCCGAACAAAGAATGGAAAAATGTCCTCGGGTGAGGATGATAAAAAAAAAAACCTAGCCAATACCCAACCTAAATAGC